GTGTGAAGACAGAAGGAAATCATGACAGTATTGCTGGAAAAGTATGGTTTGTTCCCCCATTTAAACATACACTGCTAACTCTGTGAATCCTTGGTACTACAGTCATAGTTCTATTAGTTTCATTCATCTAAGTACTGAAAAGTAGAAGTCCAGCAGGTGTCTCTAACAGACGTTGTTGTTGTTAGTTGTGAAGTGGTGTCCGACCCATTGCCACCCCATGGACAACGTTCCTCCACGCCTTCCTGTCCTCTACCATCCCCCTCATGCCGACTGCTTCAGTGACTCCATCCAGCCACCTCATTCTCTGCTGTCCCCTTCTTCTTTTGCCCTCAATCGTTCCCAGCATTAGGCTCTTCTCCAGTGAATCCTTCCTTCTCATTAGGTGGCCAAAGTATCTGAGTTTCATCTTCAGGATCTGGCCTTCTAAAGAGCAGTCAGGGTTGATCTCCTCTAGGATTGACCTGTTTGATCGCCTTGCAGTCCAAGGGACTCGCAGGAGTCTTCTCCAGCACCATAGTTCAAAGGCCGCAATTCTTTGGATGCTCAGCCTGCCTTATGGTCCAACTTTCACAACCATACATTGCAACTCAGAAAACCATAGTAACAGACACTAGAGGACTCCTTTTAGTACTCCCTGGGCCTCTGATTCTGACTGCTGATTGCAATGTTTCTCCATGGCTGTAGAGCTTGTCTCCAAGGCCTCTGTCATAGTGATAAGATGGGATGGATCTCTACCTCCTTTTGCTCCTGACAAAAGTATGTTACCCATCCCACTGGTCTTGCCCGGTGATTTAAGTAGGTACTGCTGCAGTCACTATCTTGACTTTTATTACCATATTCTGAAGACACTCCTTGCTAGTTATTATAATGGATTGGTCTGATCTCGTCCCTTACTATTCACCTTGTTTGATTTAGTCCTTGCATCCTGCAACCAAATCATAATCCAATGCTGGGTAGCAAGTGTTAATATTTATTTCCTAGGGCTAGATCAAATTCTTAAAAGCTTTTGATAGTTTTTCCAAGGCTGCTTGGGAAGTCTCCCTTAGACTAGTTGGAGACAGAAGTGTAAGAAGCCAGCTTCATTGGTAAAGCAGGCTATATCCCATCTGTCACAGACTATAATTGAAGCAAGCATATGTTGAGATAAAAATAAAGTGTAACCATATTAAAACCAAAGTCCATTTTGATTCTTGGCTTCTTTCCTTTCTGTTTTAGATATTTAGATAGACCAACCTTCATGTGATCATAATTAAGGAAGAACCCTGAATGTCCCTGATCCTTAATAAAGAACTATAATAAAGTACAATTAGAGTATAATATAAGAACCAGAAGGGCATTGAAAAATTCACTACATATTCGAAAAGATGCACTGATCTGCACAAAAATTCAGTTCTTGTAAATGATTTTAGGAGCTGCCACCAGTTGCCACTCTTGAGTAAACATTTACACGTTTTAATGGCTTGAGAAATAAGTTGAAATATGACCCCACTGATCTCAGAGAGCATAGATTTCTCCCCTTTCTCTCAGACATTTTCTCATTGTTTATTTAACCTTAGTTTGTTCTTTTTTTAAAAAAATAATCTTCTATAATTCCTGGATATCCTCAAACTTCATCAGTTAGAACAATCTCCCCTTTTATAAGAAGAATCAAAAAGAGATGAATCACCTTAAGAATGGTATTCTTTTGTGGTTCAGTTACCCACAGCACTCATTCCAATTTATCTTGGTCAAAAGAAGAAGCCTCCGATACAGTTAAGTAGAAAAACATGGCTAACTAAGTGAGTTTTCATGGTGTTAGTAACCCAAAGCTAAAACTCAGTGGTAGAGCTCACATTTTGCATGCTGAAAACTCCCCATTCAGTCCCCTGCATGTCTAGTCATGGGTGGGACAAGACACCTGCTAAGTCACTTCACTTTAATGCTGTTTTTATGAAATCAATAAAGAACAGCCCTGATAATACATGGGGTACCTGCATGGCAATGTCTGTGCAAGCACCTGTCCTCAGCTTCCAAGTTCCCATTGTAAAGTATAAATGCAGTATGGAAAAAAGGCTTTTTTCTATTTTCCAATTAACTACATGGATTGCATAAATATATTCATGTATATGCATATGAGGCAGCAGAAATTCTACATCTTTAAATTTCCAGTCCAGTAAATGGCTATTATGCATTTTTAGGCTTTAGTAAATCCCACAGGGGTTTAATGAGGAGATTTGTGTGGAGAAAACAGCACAGAAAACGATTGTCTATCAATCAGTCTGTTTGTTTATCCTATTAAGCCTTTGGTGCTCACTAGATATGTTGACTACAATTCCCATCATCACCACCCAATACGACCAGTAGGGAGAGGCTGATTGAGCTGGATATTTTTTGCTTGGATTGACAAAACCTGGTTGAAATTGTGGACAGATTTAGCTGATTTTTTAAAACTTCCATGTAGTAAGAATTAGAAATCTGGGACCACTTGTCATGCAAAGCATATACAGGAACCTGAGAAAAAGCTAAAGGTACATAAGCTAAAATCATCTGGAAAAGAATCATAAACAGACCAAGCCAACATTTCCCCTTAACAAGCCTACCGACATAAGAATATTTGGAAATAACATCTTTCTTCAATTCCTATGGCCATTGTGACTTGGGAACTGCATTTGGAATCACAACACGCAAAATTACACGCTATGCAAAATGTATTTAGTTGAAAAGAAGCCTGAAGCATAAATCTGAAAATCACAGTTATATTCTATATGCAGGTAGAAACTATGATCAGACCATCTCCCGATATCCTATCTCACCTCAATGGTACAATAGTATATCCAGCTTTCATATTTTAGAAAATTGATTAAACGTAACAGATTTAAGGAAAAGATTACTCAAAAACATTTCCAAACAATGGAGTAAAGAGGACCAAAATGTACAACTGATGGTGCTGTTAGAAGGCTACTCCCGTCACATATTTAAATAGCTATGGAGTGACTATGATTTAGTTGAAATTAGGAAAAATCAGAAAATGTAATCTGTAAATCTCATTAAGGTCTCCTCTACCTTCTGTCAACTCGTGAAGCTTCCCTGACTTGCTCCCAAGTTACCATAGGCAGGGGGATGGGAAATTGTGCCTCACAGCTGCTCCAAGGAATTTACTCCTCAGTCATAACAAGATGCATTCTGGCTGACCAAGTCAAGGCCATCTCTGTGGATACCAGCAATGCCTGGACTTCTGCAACCTGCAAAATTACCTCGTTCGGGAATGTGACCAGGTGATACACTTTGGGGGGGAGGGGGAAACAGGATCAGAGGCAAGGTATGAAGAGGGTAAAGTCAGAGTTGGGTTCACCTAGATAATTCTGACATGGAGCTCCTAATATAAGACTGGATTTTTATTGCCGGATGGCATGAGACTCTTAATTGCGTTAGGGCAGTGATCAGAATCCTGACACCTTCCTCATTCCCCAAAGACATAAGCATAACTACAAAATCATAAGCATAATCGCAGTTTCACTTAGTGACTACTTTGCTTAATAACCAAATTGCCAATCCAATTATAATTACTTGGCCAATAAAGAATATTCTATTCTATTCTATTCTATTCTATTCTATTCTATTCTATTCTATTCTATTCTATTCTATTCTATACAATAGGGATTTGTTTTGTCCCCACAAGGGACAAAAGCCTCTTCTGATATTTCCTTAATTAAGCCCTGGTGCCCTTTTGTCATTGCTCATAATTTATTAGCAAAATAAATTGATCGTGTTATTTCCAGAGAAGTATCCTCTCTTCAAAGTTGTTGCAAAATTATTACGGGGAAGAACAGAGCCATATTCTGCTTTCAGATAACCTGAAACTCCTGAATTTGCAGAGGGCCAAGAGAAGAATGCATGGTGCCAATATCTCCATGTTGCCAAAATTAGGTTGAACAAAGTCAGAAGTACTATACAATTCATCATGAATGGATAGAGTTTTAGACTTTAATCTGTTTGTGGCTGAGATGGAATTTAACCTCGCTTAACATAATTCCTGATCAACATACCTTCCAAATACATCTTCTTCTGAAAAACTGCTCACTTGAACATGCTACTATGTGGAATTCCGCTCATGTAAGCAATCAGCATGTAGTGTTGAATATCTAAAGGCTGTTGCCAAGCATTTAATACACAACCTGACCCATTGGGTCATCTATTTTTCCACATATAATATAGGCAGGATATATATTACAATATATAATATAGAATTCCATTCTTCTCATGCTCCTCAGCAGAACTCCAATGAAGCCTCCGTTTCCTCCTCCTCCTCCTCTGATGACCTGTGGAACTGCCTACCACTTTGTTGAAGGGTAAGGGGGATAAAGGAAGCTGAAGACTGCAAGGAAAACTGCCCCCTTACCCCCCCCACCCCAGCTTATCCTCAAGGGCCTCCTCCCTCCAGGGAGGGAAGGATGACAGCTGCTGGCACCTCCCGGCCAGCCCATTTTAGCAGCAGGCACCTGAGTTACTCCCTTGCCCTTGCCTTGCTACCCATTGCTGTCAAAAGATTTCAATTTTTGGCCTTGGTTCTAAAACAGCCAATCGTTGCTTGCTCGTTGAACCTTGTCACCAGCCAATTGGGCCCAAGAGAGATAGGAAAAAGGGTGGGATATTCTTCTCCCATCTTCCCTTGCACAACACAACCTACAGGTTTCTAGGAAGTGTAGTTGGAAATCATGATCACATGACTGCAGCTAACCGTTGCAATGCTGCAGTGACCACAACTTTGTAAATAAACTTTATGAAGATCCTAGAAGATTCCCTGGGAGCCATAGGTCCTGGATTTTGGATGCATTCTTTAATTTAGCCCATTTGAGGTACCTTGGTTCAAAAATTGTTGCCCTATAATGCACCGTTTTGCCCAAATGAAGATTGCAAACTGAAAAACAGACAGGAGAGTTTCAATAGTATATACATTTTCTGTTGCTATAATCAATGAAGGAAGAGAAACAAACAAGGCATATATTGCTAATGTTACCTACCTCAATAATATAAAGAACGACATTCTTATAAAAGCAATACAATATGCATTTCGTCACTCGATTGTAACTCCAGGCTCCATGGACAAGTAACAGCTTCTCCAAGTAGGAAAACTAGGACGGGAAAAAGATCAATTGTGTGTCATCAAATTACTGTCAACTCTTAAATTGTGTTTAGATTTAAATTTGAGACCATTCATTGTGTGGTGACATTAACTTAGTATAAATTACTCTAAAGTTTTATATTTACCACAGTGGACATGTCTGAAATATTGAGCAAGGAGCATGCTATTGGCTTTAAGTAATTATCCATTCTGATTGCAGCACATGTTCCAATTTAAATAGCTACTGTAAGTAACATGAGCAGGAGACGCTATTGAATCCCTGCTTGTGGGTTTCCTAAAAAGAGATGATTGGCTAATGTGGGATACTAGATTAGATGCATCTTTGTTGTGGTTCACTGTAACTTTTCTTAGGCATTTATATCATGATCTTGTGAGAAGATTCAATTCCATACCATATGTACCGTAATTGGAAAAAAATACATTACAGCAGGAGATACGTAATGCAAACTGCCCTCATAAAAATTCATAAAACTAGTTTTTATCTTCCCATGTTTTTAGATGCTCATAATGCCTCTTCTTTGTGCATCGGCTAAAAGCTGTCTTAAATTTGTGAGTTTCCTAGGAAGAGATTCAGTCTGGTATAGTGATGAAGAAACCAGGAGATGGTGAGTTCTAGATCTTTCTTAGGCAGGAAAGTCAGCTTGATGACTTTCAGTCACTCTGTCTCAGCCAGTTCACAGGGTTGATTTTGAGGGGGAAAATAGGAGGAAGGTGTATTAGGGGTGCTTGCCATTTTTAGATAGATAGATAGATAGATAGATAGATAGATAGATAGATAGATAGATAGATAGATAGATAGATAGATAGATAGATATGGATGGGTAGATATTTATTTAAAAATGATAGTCAGAGCAGCGGCATATGGAAGTGATTAAAGATATTTAAAAGACACAGCTCTAGAGGGTTTTATGTGCTGAAATGATTATCCAACAATCTGTGTGTAGTGGAAAGGAACTGGATAGCATCCCTTTCAGTTGAAAACAGCAGTCAGATATTAAATGCATATGTGTTATGTGGGAGTTATTCCCAAATAAACATTGACAAAATCACAGGCAAATGTGTAGAATTCTGAATAGTGGTTAGACTGCTTTTACAATATAATTTTTAAATTGATCTAGTAAATCACTATATTTCTATTCTATATATTTTAATTGGTATTGTAGTAGCTTCACAAGGTGGCATTTACTCCTCAGCCCTACTTGTAAATTAGAAGCAAGTTAAAACAGTCTTTTGCTCAGACTGATTGTGGGGTCTATTTAGGCTATCACAGGAAACTGACTGCTTTAGTTTTAATTGCTTATGTTGAGCTTATTCTTTTTTCCTATTATTCACAGCCCGGAGTCTGACAGGACTGGGGCGGGCTACAAATTTGGGTTGATTGATAGACATAGACAGATAACCAACCCTACTATGGATGTTTTAATTATCGTCTTGGGACTGTAAACTTCAAGGAATTCCTGGCAGATTCAGCAATAATAAACACCCTTACTTAGGTAATAGTGAAATAACAGAATTATCTGGGGCTCTGTATACATTGAAGAACTACAGCTCCCACCAATTTCAGTTTAAATAGGTGGTGATGATTTATGTTCTGTAAGCTGCCCAGAATCACTGGAGATGGGTGGCATATAAATTTAATCAATCAATCAATCAATCAATCAATCAATCAATCAATCAATCATGAGGAATGTTGAGAACTGAAGTACAGCAGCAGCAGAATCTGGCCGGACACAAGTTCACAATCCTTCTTCTATCCTAATCATTGGTTCAAGAATGAGAGATAGAGGCAAAGAGCCAATTGGCATTGAAAAATGTAGGAAACTATAATAAAATAGTAATGGACTTCTTGAAACAATCTGTAACTATCAGGATGGTCAACTTTCTTTGAGCAGGAGCAGAAATTTGCTCTCTCAGCCCACTGGTAATATCACTGAAAGAATGATAATGTCCCCAATTATTAGGTCCACTTTTGTTTTGTGTAGGCATTTAAGTTCTCTGAGAGTCCAACTGCACCTTTTCTATTAGAACATTCCAGAAACAAACAAATATACAAATAAACATAACCCAATTGGACATGGTGGTTGTGTTTGAAATTGTGAAATGGCATTTGTTGATCTGATAAGTAGACCCAGTACCTGTGGAAAAATGCTAGGGAAATGAAGATGATTTGATTGTTTCAAGAAGCAGAAAATATTTCTTGTGCTAAGAGCCGTGGGGGCACAGTGGTTAGAATGCAATATTGCAGGCTGACTCTGCTCACAGTTTGGAGTTTGATCCTGACTGGCACAAGATTGATTTAGCCTTCCATTCTTCCGAGGTTGGTAAAATGAGGGCCCAGATTGTGGTGGGCAATATGCTGACATTATATTATGCTGACATTACAAAGAGAGTGCTATAAAGCACTATGGGGTGATATATTTAGCAATAGCACTCTAAGTGCTATTGCTAAAGGAGCTAGATTTTGATAATGCTTAGAACATTTGGAAGGGTGGAAATCATTGAATTATTTATTCATTTATTTAATATTTATTAGATTTATGTGCCTCATATTTCATATAGAGGCGACTTTAGAATTAAAGAGTTGAATGGTGTGACTGAATCCAACTCCTGCTTTGTATTCATAACAGATGACTAGCTAACTTCTTCCACCATTTTCAGGCAACTGGTTCAAACTGCTGTTCATCTTTGGAAGTTGTTTTTTTCTCCCACTAACATTCCTAACAATGAGTAACGATCTGCCAAAACAGAGGAGTTTACTTCCAGAGACCCAGAAATTTCCCACTTCCCCTGTCTGTTTTAGAAGAAAAATAAAAAAAGAAAAAAAAATCTGCCCCCAATTAGTCAATTTGCTGCTGAATTTCTGCAGCACAGTCCCAGGGTGCTAGTGATTGGCACAAATTGGGTCCCAGGGGTTGAAGTGATGTTACATACTCCCTATGGGCTTCTATTTATTCACTTCTGCCCTTATTGGCAATAACTCAGCAAAAATAATTTTGAAAGTTTCTATCAGATTACATAAAAATGACCATTTCATTAACATTTCCTACATTTTCAATTTTTTTTAATCATTCAGAGGCTTACTTAATTTCCAAGGAATCCTGGATCATATAGAGGCATTTTATTTCCCATCTTTTCACTTTCACAATATTCCTGCACTGAGGATTAGATTTAATGACAATAATTTTGCTAAGGCAATTCAATAGACTTTATACTGGGCAGAAATATGAATACAGGTTCCCCAATACTAATCTAGCTTTTAATTTCCTATATCTCTGGGCTCCCAAAGCACTGTTCCTCATTCAGAAGGAAACTTTGGAATGAAAAGCACTCCCAAAAATTTCCAAGGATTATAACACACCAACTAATTTAACATCAACCAAAAGACCATGAGTTCTATGGTCTACGAGACCATGAGTTCTGTATTACTATTATTCTTCTCTTCCTTACTATTATCTATCTCTTTCCACTTATTACTATAACCATGTTTCTTGCATCTTTCCATTTATATTGTTTTTATTTGTTTCCTAGTACAATTTGATAGCTTATTAGTAACCTTGACTATCACTAAGTGTTGTAACTTTTTATTCTTGATGAATGTATTTTATTTTCCTTATGTACACTGAGAGCATATACACCAAAGACAAAATCCTTGTGTGTCCAATCACACTTGGCCAATAAAGAAGTCTATTCTATTCTATTCTATTCTATTCTATTCTATTCTATTCTATTCCCACTGCTGGCATGAAAAAGCAGCTGGATGACTTTGGGCCAGTCACTCTCTCTCTTTCTCTCAGCCCAGCCTACCTCACAGAGTTATTGTTGTGAAGAAAATAGCAGGAGAAAGGAGTATTAGTTACATTCGCCACTTAGAGTTATTTGTAAACAATAATAAAGACAGGCTAAAAAATAAATATTGGCAGAGCTTAAGAGAAAGTAAGATCCAAAAAGAAGAATATACTCTAAAGAAATTCCTGCATGCATTTTCTGAGAGGAAGAAAAATGATCCCACAAAAACAGTGTTCCATTTTTATATACTGTATAACTAGGTATATATCCCACATATTTCCATACAAAAATACAGATTTTTGTGGTTCTGTGTCTAGAAAGGGACCAGTGAGATTCATTCTGAATCAGAAACAATGGTGCTTGTCACCTTGCAGGATCATTCAACATCTGGTCAGACCGCAAGATGGCGGTCAGCCAGAGTTTGCCTCAGGCATCCCAACGACTGCCAACACTTATTACATCAGTGAAATGCAGGATGTGAGAAGCAGGACAAAGCAAGTCTCTTCTTCAGGAAACTAGCTGAATACTCAGTCATTCAGAATTCATATCAGCAGTTCAATAATAAAAGTGCTCCTTGAACATAATTAATTCCTCCTTTTGAAAACAATAAAATCTACATCCAAGATTTGAATTGCCTCAAAAATGTCTCTATTTGGTTTTGGGAGTCTGAAAAAAAATAAGTCATTGGATTGTATTATAATGAAGATGAGAGATATGACCAGAAGGGGTTGTCTCTGCACTATATACTTTAAACTTTCTTTTAAATAATAAGAACTTTTAAATATTTCATATCTTTGTATGCGAGATTATTATTTGTTTAAAAGAAATAAATATTCCTAGATATATTAGCATTTAGATTTGGAATTTGTAGTCCTCTTATTGGAGGAATAGGTCAGGACTCATCAAAATCAGATGAGAATCCTAGTATCTTGTCAAAGAAGAACAGGACAATTGGACCTCCAAGGTTAACGGTACATTGGCAGTAACTTTGAAAAGCCTTTGTACCCATAAGAACAGAACAGACAATAGGACAGAAAAAGAGCTCCAGGCTGTTGTCAAAAATGTCTGATTAGACTTGTATCTGTCTTGGAGGAGGAGGAAAAAAGAAGAAGTTAATCGTGAAACCTAAACTGAAACAATATTGAAGGATATCAGCTTCTCAAGAACTCCAAGCTTAAGACCTATTTATTCCTAGATTTTCTTGAGACAGAAGTCTAACTCTTGTACTAGAACAAGCACTGGCTTCCATAATGAATACATTTCCTTCACACTATGGATCGGTCTTCAAGAAACCAATAATGTGCTCCTTTGAAAGATGCCTTGGAAATGTTTAAGTATCACTCTAATTCAGTTTGGTGCTCCTAAAACAATCAGGATTGTAGCTCTCAAAGTTCACATTAGACTCTGCCTGAAATCCTGGGAAGGCTGCTTTAATTAATATTTCTTGTTTTCAAACCAAATTCCCTTCATGATGATGTATCTATCAGGAAAAAGGATACACCAAAAACGGATTCCTATCTACCTAACTGTTGTTGGGTCTGGAGACTGACTGGAAGGCTGTTTTGCTTTTTTAAAATTTGCATTCCATCAGTTTTAACCGGCACTGCAAACAGAAAGAAATTATAGGAGTGGGAGTTTAATATTATCTAGGAGGCCACACACTGCAGCAATATAAACTGATCTTGATTTACTTCTAACAGCCATTCCTTCAATCCCAGAGATTAAAAAAAGGTGATGGTGGGGTCTTTCACTGATAACCTCTGAATAAATGCCAAGGGATTGATAAGGACTTCCATATAACTATGTTTCCCTTATCATACTGTGCCTTTTGGAATCCTAAAATCAGAACTATAGTAAGTACTAATAGAGGCTGAATTGGGGCTTGGATAATGCCTACCACTGCTTAATTGTTTAAAACATTAGCCTGCATGTTTCGCTTCGGAAGGCAAGGATAGCATTACCAGGGGATACTATAATTAATCAATATTAAATAGTAAACTTTACAGTGAATAATGAAAGTTAAACTCTAACAGCTCAGAATGATGGATACGATGGTTATGTTTGAGCATATGTTTATTATAATTATCCTCATTCAGGTATCTCTATATAATAAGTTAAAAGTCCTGCTGCATCAGAAAATCTTATACGCCATCAAAGAATTTCAAAATCAGGACAATCGAAAAAAGTCAGTGTTTCGTGCCCACCTCTGAAACCTATCACTGATCACCCCTGACCAGAAGTAGGAAGCTAAAGAATATTAAACTTCTTTCATAGCATTTCCTTAGATCACTGAAATAAAAAGGAGTGATAGTCTCTATTGTAGAATAGGTAGAGGTTATCAACAAATGTCTATTGCAAGAGTAAAAGTAAGAGGGAGGAGGAGGAGGAGGAGGAGGAGGAGGAGGAGGAGGAGGAGGAGGAGGAGGAGGAACTATTATTTTGACAGCTGCAATGTCTGAGTCATCTTCCAGACTACTGGAAATATGGTCAAAACACAATGATGGAGAAAACGAAATCTCAGCATTTAGGATGAAATGGCTCCTGGCCCAGTACAATGGAAAGTATTGCACACATTTACAAGTTCTCTGTATTAAGTCAGCATCCTCAAAGGAAAGATGGGGGAAGGGGGAAAAGGACATTTGATTGGCCTCCAGATCAGCAGTGAAGTATTTATGCTGCCCGTGCAGCCAACACCCTTTCAACAGGATATGGCAGCTGTTTCTTTGTAGGCATCTAACCTGTGCTATTGCATAATCAGAAGAGTTGGTTGCCTGCATGCCTTCATTGCCACTGATCCCCACTCCAACATGAGCCGTCTGGATCATTCCAACATCATTGGCACCATCCCCAATGGCCAGAGTGATGGCATTCACATGTTTCTTTACCATGTCTACTATTTCTGACTTCTGCAGAGGAGACACCCTATAGGGAAAGAAGAAAAAAAGTCTGTCAGTTTCCAAACTATGTGTGACTTTTAAAGGGAAAGCTGCAGATGCAAAAAAAAAAAGAGGCAATAACTGGAAAATTTCCTGCTCCAATATTTCAGATTTTAGAGCGCATGCCAAATCCTCCCTGCCTTCAAATTCACTGTGGATGTAAGACTCATCAAGAATAGTAGGCTAAAAATGTTTTGATTACCATAAACCATTTTTCCAATTCTTATACCATATGATAGCCCTCTCCAGATGTGTTGGGATATTAACTTTCATAATTCCATCTTTTACGAGCTGGCAGATTACAGGGATTGAAGGCCAAGACAATTAGAGGGCATCGGATCGGGAAAAGGTATAAGACTAGTATTGAAATTGTTACTATATTGAAAGTATTTTGTCCTTATTCACAAACATAATTCATACACATTTCCTATTCAAATGCTCCGCAGAGCTTCTGGAATTACTGCCAACTTCTCATATTGTCTGAAGGGGATGGTGCACAGATCTATCTGAAGAAATTAAGTTACCTATTGAATATGGGAATGGCCGGCAAGATCGAGACGACTCAGGGTAACGATAACCAATGTTTAATCAGTTAACTCCTAACATTAACAGAACCTTGTTCACGGCTAATGCAGTAAGAAAGAACGCCCGTTACACTCTGACAGCTCTTTTATACCCCCGGTTGTCAGCATCTGCTCCAATCAGATTTTGCCTAGTTCCCGCTAAGACAGCACCTCGTCTGGCGGCAGCAACTACGCATGCGCCGATCTGTCAGGACACAACACTCCTTCCCCCCCCGTATGGCGCATGCGTAGTCATTCAAGTATGCTGGGCGGCGGCGACTCCTCCCTGACCGACGTAGATTGGTTCCATCGGCTGATGAGGGCAGAGGCCACGTCTTCTGTATCAACGGGGACCGCCAACTCACCTTCTACAGGTAAGTGCACCGGTTGTGGTAACATCGGATGCCCAGGTTCGCTAATTTCCGCCGGTTGGCAAACTGGGGAGGGCAAGGCCCGTAGGTCCCGGCCCTGGGGACCCCCTAGATGCCGAGCCTGAAACTGATCTACATGCCGACGCCAAGTGCGGGCGTCGGCCGGTAGAATAGTATATGAGCGTGGCCACGTTACTCCCGAAATCGTCCCCAGCACCCATCAGGGGTCTCCGGCATAGTTCCTAGCGTATATGGTGTCACCCATGTTGAAGACCCGGACCTCTCCCATGGAATCTGGGGGCGTGTCAGGACAATAGGTAGGATGGAGGCGGTCTAACACAATCCGCAAACAGCAGCCCATGAGCAGCTCAGCCGGGGAGCGGTTGGTGATCAGGCAAGGGGTAGAGTGTTGAGTTAAAAGGTAGATAGCCACACTAGCCTGCCAATCCCCTGTCCCCAACCTGAGTAGGCCTTCCTTGGCCGATCTTATGGCCCTTTTGGCCCGGCCATTACTGGCCGGATGGAATGGGGCGACAGGTGCATGACGAATGCCCTGCGTCACCAAGAAACTCTGGAAAGTGGTACAGGTAAATTGAGGCCCGTTATCAGAAACGACAACATCGGGCAGCCCATGGGTCGAGAACAGGCAGCACAGTGCCCGGACGACTGCGTCCGCAGTGGTGGAAGACATGGGAATAATCTCGACCCACGCAGAGTATGCATCAACCATGACCATAAAGGTCCTCCCATGCATTGGACCCGTGAAATCAACATGCAGGCGGGACCAGGGGTGCGGGGAGTGTCCCATTCCCAGGGAGGGACAGCTGGGGCAGCGGCCCTAGACTCCTGGCACTGAGAGCACCCCGATACCCAATTTGTGATGTCTTGGTCCAAATGAGGCCACCAAACATAACTCTGCCTCAAAGCCTTCATCCGGTCAATGCCCGGGTGACCCTCATGCAATGCCAACAAAACAGTGTCCCCCAAGTCAGGTGGTATAACAACCCGTGAGCCCCACAATACACAACCCTTAAGTGTAGTCAGTTAATGCTGCCGGGCTTTGTAGGGTTGGAAGTCCAAGGCAACCTGCCAAGAGGCCAACCCCTCCGAACCCAGTCCAGGACTTGCATCAGGAGCTTGTCTTTAGCAGTAAGCCTGGCAATGTCTGCAGCCGAAACAGGAAGACTTTGGTCATCGATCAGTAAGATGGAGGTGACGGGCGCAGGGTCATCTACTCCCACGGGGAGGGGGCAATGGCTGAGGGCATCTGCATGACCCATAGCTTTACCTGGATGATGTAGAAGCTTGTAATTGTATGCGGTCAGGAACTCAACCCAGCGAGCCATGCGAGGCGAAATGATCTGGGGAGTTTGCCTGTCCCTGGATAGGATACCCAAAAGGGTTTATGGTCCGTGATGAGGTCGAAGGAACGGCCGTAAATGTAGTGGTGAAATCGTTTAATGCTGGCCACCGCCGCCAAGGCCTCCTGTCAATTTGACCGTACCGCCATTCAGTTGGAGATAAACTACGGGAGAAATAAGCAATAGGGGCCTCGGTTCCATTCGGCAGGCAGTGGCTAAGGACAGCCCCGACCCCGTACAGGGAAGCGTCGCAGGCGAGAGTTAACGGAAGCCGGCTATCGTACTATATCAAGACACTCAAAGATGTTAACAAGTCTTTAACAGCCGATCTGTCAGGAAACAACATTACTTGTTTTAAGCTACTTGTCTTTATGTTATCTGTCCAATGTAACTGGACTCAAGAAGACAGAACATAGGAAACTGTTTTAGATATTTTCAAATGCTTAGTTCAGTATTGTCTACTGTATCAATGTCTCCGCAGAGACTCTGTCAAAGGTATTTCCCATCATTTGCTACGAGAGCCTCCCAAAAACAAAACAAAAGCTAGAAATAGCAGACTGAGGAATCTAGAAAAGCTATACAATTGGTTTCAAAAAAAATGGAGATACTCTTTCATCTAGTGCATAACTATTTGTGAAACCAATACTCACAAGATGCAGCGATGTCTACTAAGTTGAATAGCTTTTAAAAGGAAGAGGTTAAAGACATTCTTGGAGAATGGAATTCCTACTATCACCTATCTGTGACAGCTATATATTACCTCTATTAACAGTAATATCAGCTTTGACCAACTTTAGTGAGATGGTATTGTACATTTGTGCCTGCATGTGAGCTTCTCTTGGCAATTCACTGAGCACTATGAGACTAGAACATTAGCTGGAGGGACGTTTCAATCAGATCCAGAATAAGAAAAAAAGAAAAAGAAAAGAAAATATCTTTTTTTTAAAAAAATGATAAATGACTTTCAACTTACAAAGTATATGTTCTCCCACTAAGTAACGAAGTATAGGTGTCAGCTCAGCAAGGTAGACCAGACCAAACCAATGCTATATAAATCAGAACTATTTTATTGTAACAACCATAGTAATACTATCTTGCAAATCTGAATGTGCTTCCTTTTCTCTCTCTTTATCTTCATGTGAACTATGGAGAAGTTTATCTGGGATGCTTTCTCAGGTTATTTTCTTGGCCCAGGCTCAGTCCCACTTTACAGTATCTGACCATCACCATGATAGCAGTTCATTCTCCTGTCCTTCAAGGCCATCCCTATCCCTTTAACAATAGGTTCTACTAATAAGCTACATTGACCAAGCACGTGATACCTGGTAATCAGAGGACAGACTACCGAAAGGAACCATTGAATCCTTCAAATCATTGAATCATTGAATTTGGTATGCAAAAAGAGACTACAATTCAATTATTTGAAGTAATAATGCAATTTAGATCCACTTGTAAGTCTACAAGCCTTTCAAAGCTGCTAATATTATTCCTACTATCTGCAGCAGTCATTTGCTTTATTTTTCCTCCTCCATATCTTTTTAGAACTCATAGCTGCAAAGATATACCGTAATTATATAGAGATAAAGAAATAGATTTATGTTGCCTGAGTTGTACAAAATAAACGCAAAATATAAATCAAATAAATAAATGCAGACATAATAAATCTAGCTATAGATATATACAAGGTGACAACGTTGACCAATCTCTTTATAAATTAGAAGAGTTTCCTCTTATCTGGGGCACATTGCTGAATTACTCCAGAGTTTTAAATCCCCATTTGGTTGAAACCCTGTCTAAAATTTTTACTTTATGAGCTGCAATCAGGAATGAAAACAGACTGTAGTTTGAGCAGTATTTTACATTATCAGAAGAACATCAGTCTCAGAATTTAACATGAATGAATCTCAACATCACCTATGTTTCAATGAGATTATTCACAGGTAAGCAATTTATTTTAGTACTATAGTAAAGTAAATCAATGTTGTAATCTTTCAAGTAAAAAGATTTAACAATCTACTCTATGAGAATGTTTTGTCCAAAGATACTTAGACGAAATTAGTTAATTTTCTTTTTCAGTCAAACTTTCCTAATGCTTAGTCTTTTGAATAAAAGCTTTCCCAAAGATAAAAGTTAGCACATGAAGACTAATGATAGAATTTCCCAAGTAATTAAATCTACAAACAAAGCACTGTGGGAAACTATTCTTTGATAACATGAAAATTAAACAGATTTACAAGTTTAAGCCAACTTTCCCCAATTTGATGCTCACAATAATTGAGAAAACATAGCTTTTCCTTATCTGGTTCTCTCCAGAGACTGGACAACTGCCATAAGTGCTGTGAAGTTTAAAAAGAACTCTGCCATTAGCTTGTTCAGAATGGAATGAGAATTTCAAATGAGGAAGGTCATGTAATGTAATGTCATCTTCCTTAGGGATACGAATGATAATTAAAGAATTGAAAGGAAGAATAAGAATATATGGATAGTTTTTATAATGAAGGCATGAAAATAGAATTTCAAATAATATTCTTGGGTCCTCACTGTTTTTAAGAAACAGTGTCTAGAGTTGAGAGTCAGCAGGATTCCTGATTTTACCAAATACCTTAGCAAGGTTAAAACGAATAACGTCAATAAAGGAGATTCCAAAGAAATTCTCCTAATAAGAAGAATGAGTAATTAAATACAAGCAAA